TGCTGATACCTTACCAGTCCCGAGGGGCAGGCCCGCCGCCGCTCTCGCCAGCAAAAATCCGAGGGGGAAAGCCCCGTCGGGCCCTCAACCCCTCGGTCTCCTCCGCGCCGCTTTGCTGCTTTCGGGCCGACGCCCGCCGGCCTCGATCCCCGAACCTCCGTAGTAATAGTCCGATGCCGTAACCTTAAGGGCTAAGCCCAAACCTGGGGCTGAGTCCCGCAGAATACCATATAGACAGTGCGGCGCGATGCTTTTGGGCCAACCAAACGGCTGCGCGACTCCCATTTGCCCGTGCCGGTTTGCTTATACCATGCCATAACTACCCCGCGCGCCATCCTACGACACCCCGCTTACCGCACGAAATCGCGCCGTTATTGCCGATGCTGTCGTCGGGGTCGTTTCTCCGCACACGCGCTTGACCTACTAATCAAAAAGAAAATATCCTTAATCCCTACTTAATAAAAAATAACAATATCACCAAACGAAACGACCGAGGTCCGGGCCGGCTTTACGATTAAATAACAGAAAAAGAATCACGCGCGCCTCAAACCTGCGCGCCCACGCACTCGCTATTGCGGTCAACCACCCAGTCAAATCAATTACTGACGCAACCGTGCTTAGCGGGGTATACTTCAATTCTAAACCAAAACTATTTTCTGTCACTTGCAAAAACCAGGGCGGATACCCTTGTAAGGGTATTCGCACCGACAGCTTACCGGACCATATTAAGCGACGTCCCCGTCGCTTCGCCAAATCTGAAAGCTATAAATCCATTCACACTCCAAATGCTGACAAAAGAAGTGAGTCAATCCGATTAGCCGACAAACACAGGGTAGAGGCCTCCATCCAACCATGCCTTCCAAACTATATGCTGCCAGGTTTCGAACCCAGGTCTCTCACTACCCAGAAATTAGCACGCTGACAACATAAGTTCGAAAGACCTTCCCAATCGTCCTCTCCCCGGTCCTAGACAACCTTCGGCTTCTCGTTGGGTGTCCCTAGTCCTGGCAAAAACTAGGGACGCGGGCCTTAACCGAGACCTTTGAAGGCACTCTCGCCTTCCTTCTCAAAATCTCTCGCAATCAAATTCATATAAGTATATGTGTAAACTTAATATCCACTTTGCTCTTTCTGTACTCTGCAGTCTAGTACAGAAAGGCCAGGTCTCCATCTTGGCCCACCATAGCCTGGTTGATCGGACCAGGACTACGGCCCACCACATTGTTATTTAACGGCAGTACCCTCGTTGGTTACGCAACGATAGGGTTTCTCCTGATAAGCACTCAATCAGGACCTCCTAAAATCTCAACCTTCACTATCCCACGGAGTAATTTCCCTTGGGCGGGTAACTCCCCTAAAACTCTTACCCGCGGTCCCGCAACCAGGTTGCGCTGGTTAGCAGCCATCCAATAGGGTTACGCCTTAGAGGTACTAACTTTTTTTTCGTTAGGTTGACCTTCCTTCAATATGTCCCAAAACTAGCACAGGTGGTTAGACGGGGCATCGCAAAACAAAATCACAGGCCCACTGCGCAATACGCATGGGTCCGAAAGCATTTACCAGCCCTCCTTCAATAGGCATGGCATCCTTCGCACGCTTACAAACAAAATCACCGCTTAATCCACCAGGCCGTGACCCCTGACTTGATCAGAGCCAGCAGCCACCCACCCTGAGACATCTCTCGCCCTGTACTCATTGCGACTTTCTCAAACATTTCAAACAAAAAGTGGCCCTTTCTGTCAGACTTTATCACCCATCAAACAATTCGTCATGCCATTAATCAATTTACTCACTTCTGAGGATGAGTCTTCCAACCAAAAACCACTCCCCTTTTTCAACAATCCAAAAGGGGCTCTCTTCATAAACAAAACACCCCCTCGTCAAAAAATCGCGAGGGGTCTCGCCATAAAACAATACATTCCCTCTTCCAGAAATCACGAGGGTCTCATCATAAACCAAACACCCCCTCTCTCAAAGTCACGAGGAGTTTCGTTATATCACAAAACATCATAAAACATCCCCCCCTTTTCCAAAAATCTAAGGGGGTCCCATCATAAAACAGAATATCACTAAGAGACCATCTTATGGGTCCTCATCACAACTAAGATACTTTCACAGACGGACTGCGCTTCCTCCACTTATACTCTGCCTTATCAGCTGTCGTGGGCAGGTCGCACAAGTATACCGAGGAGTAGACAGTTTTACTTACAATCATATTCACAATACCCAAGATACATAAAAGGTTTTTCACACATTGTCCACACAAACTCATCATACATCAGAGTACAACCACACATGTGAGAGAGACAAGTGATCGTCACATATAAGAATGGTCCCTGAAGGAAACCTCATCATAATATACACTCAGGGAGTACAATGTCTCACACAGAAAGTGTCTTCAAATCATAGCTTGCTCAACTCAAGCCACACCAAACCCACACTGACAACTACCCCTAGAATACATGTCAGATCTGTCTCTCAAAGGCCAGGGCGTAGGCCACCTAAATATGTACATGCCTCATCTGAACCACCCTGACCCTCAAAACGCCAACTCTGTAGAAACACTAGAGTTCATATCTAAATTAACAGCAATCATCAAAATATCTTCTAAGTCTAAGAGGGTATCACACAGAACCTAAGTTGATGCCTAACAAAATGCTCGCTCACTTATATAGACAAAACCGAGCCCTACCTTCTCAACTTCTCCTGGTTTTGCCTATATAACTGAGCCCTAAGTCCATCTGCGGACTTCTCTACTATCCTACCCTCTCTATCATACATTTTACCCCCTGCCTCTGAGATCTTCCCTGCTTTCTTATCCTCAAGAAACTCGAGACAGTCCCAAGCCAGATGCACGTCCCTTTTGCAGTAAAAACATAGCTGATCTACCTTTCTCTTGAACTTCTTCTTCCTGGGCTGAGGAGGTGGCGATGAAGGAGATTCCACCAAGGTACTGACAACCCCCTGCTGCTCTGCTTGAGGAGCTGCGATATTAGCGACCTCCTGCTGCTCTGTCCCAGGAACCGGTCCACCAGACCCAGATCCAGTAGCCCAAGATCCTAGTCTGCCTCTCAAATCCTCTGTCGCTGGGACGTACTCGGGCGTGTCCAACCTCTGAGGCCTCCTCTCGAGTGTCGCCTCTGGCACTGCCGTGGGCTGCTCCTAAATCTCCTCTGGTCCATACTCAGGTGTGCCTATCCTCTGGAGTCCGCCCTTGATGGCACCCTCCTCCTCAGTCCCCATCTCTCTCTCAAGAGGCTCCTCTATCCTCTGCTCAGGTGAAAACAAACTCACCTCCTCCTGCATAGTATGCACCGCCTCAAGGAGCACGCCAATGGATTCCTCTACTGAGTCCTGAGCCGGCTCACTGCTAGATGGTGGCAGCCCCTCCTCTACTGCCAAAGGTATGACTGGGCCCGCCGCTGCTACTGGCAGTGTCGCGAGCTCGGTAGGGGCTCTGAACTCGAACGCCTCTCTCTCCACCTGTCTCTGTGCTCTCGCCTCCTCTGACTCCAGGATAACCCTCCCCATAGGTGGCTCCTGGCGAGGCTCTGTCGCAGATGGCTGTCCTGGCAATCCCTGTCCCAGCTGCCTCTGCTCTCCCTGTCGGCTGCTCTCTGGTTTGTCCACCTTTCCCTGGGTTTGCTGCCTCAGGCTCTCAATGATAGTTGCCTGGCTGACCACCAAAGCCCTAAGTTCCTGAATTTCCATCTCCATAGCCTCCAGACGTACTTCATGGCTGACTTCCTTCATTTTCTTCCCCGCAAGATCACCCTCCAATAACAAGTGCCGGTCAAAAGTGGTCTTGGCCAGGAACTTGATTTTACGATCTAACCTTTCTTCCACCTTCTTGGCCACCCCAAACCTGGCTCTGACTGGCGATGGAAGCTCCTCTCCTCTCTGCTCCCAGAAGTCTCTCCACATCTCAGGAATCTCCGGGGCCTTGGCTGGCGCGCTAGGTGGCTGACCCGGGAGTGCTCTTGCTGCTTCCGATCTCTGCCTCTCCTGCTGCTGCTCCGGGAGTTCCCCCGCTGCCTCCGACCTCTGCCTCTCCTGCCATATCTCATCTATCCGCCTGGTTCGTCTCGCCCTCTTTTCTTCAGCCGTCTCTCCAGCTGACACCCTTTCCCTCGTGCGGAGGTCGATCCTCTTTGGGATTTTTGCTTCCATCTCCTTCTCAGGTTGGCATGACTCCTGGCGTGGCTCTGCAGGTGCTGGCTCCTCCAGGTCTGGGTGCTCCAGGGCATGAACTGCTAGTTGCCTATCAATCAGGATCAAAGTTTCTCTCCTTACAGCTGCCCTCTCTCTCCTCCTTTCTGCCCTCCCTTCTGGCGAAGGAGCCTTTTCTGACGAAGGTAAAGGGGTCTCCTCTCTCTGCAACCCCTCCTTTGCCTGTCGGGTGCTCCCTGGTGCATCCCCGAGTCTCAAACCCACTGCTGGCGTCTGTGGGGGCGTGTCCTCTCCAACCTCTATCACTTCCTTCCCTGCACGTCTCCCCTCATCGCCCATCCCTCTCTCTCGCTGGGTACCCCGGACCTCTTCCTGTGGTACCTCCTCCCGTGGCATCTCCTCTCGTGGTATCTCCTCCTGTGGTACCTCCTCTCGTGGCACCTCCTCTCGTGACACCTTCTCTGCCTGCTCTCCATGCCCCTCACCCTGAAGTGACGCCCTCCACCGAGAAATATCTAAATGCATCTGCAATTCCCTCAAGGGCCCCTCTGACGCTGGTGGCTCCCCCTGTGTGTGTGCTGGCGATCTCCTCAATCCACCCTCGGTAAAACGATGGAACTCCACTGGTCCCAATCCACACTCAGGGTATGGCCCCCGCTCCTCATCCTTTGGCTCCTGCTCTCTCCTGGCTAGGGCCTTCCGTCCTCCTCGAGATGGTCTCGCCTCCCTGGGCTCAGGGTCCCTTGGTCTTTGACTCCTCTGCCGCCTCTCGACTCTGGGCTGAGGGAGCTCTGGCCGTCGAAAGGCCTCTCTCAAATGTGCCCTGCAGCTCTCCCAATCTCGTGCCATGTCCCTGATCTGCATAACTAGTGGCCTTTCCGCCTTCCTGGTCCAGAGTGGTAGCGTCTGCATCCAATCATCTCTCGGTATGCCCTGCTCTTGCATGAACCACTCAAACGCGGGAATGAAGTCCGGCGCATTTCCAATCTCCAGGCGGATCGGTCTGCCATCAGGTCCCACAGGCGAGGGTCGCAACTCCTCCATCCTTATCTCCACCTCCTGCCTCGTCGTCGCCTCCCTACGAATCCTGGCAATGGGCTCTTCGAACCTACCTGCTCCCCTCAATCTCTCAATCGCCTGAGYGACGGTCCAGCCYATACGCCTCGCATGCTCCCAGAAACTGTCCAGGAATAGCTCGATGTCCCCATCATTGTAGACTGGAGTACTCTCTCGATGGCGAGGCCCATGCCCCTCATATCCTCCTGATGCGCCCAATGGCCTCTGAGGCGGCCGTGTCCCCTTCCCTCCTCTTGGCATGGCTGTCTTCGTAAATTCAGACCTGCACAACAGGCGAAGGAGACAACAGGCACACGTTGGGGTAAGCAAGCATGTGATAATCAGAGCAAGCTCAGACCAGACCACACTTATGCAGCATGCATCCTTCCTAACCTACACACCCTGTTACTTCTATTCTAAAGGCGGTCAGATCATCTCTCTTATCTCTTCTCTCGCCACAAATTTCTTCAGTCGCGTTCCAGATACCCAATCCTTCCACTCAGTCTCATTTAACTCCTCGATCTGGTACGCTCCGAAGTCTCCGACSYGTGCGATTCGGTAGGGACCTAACCATCTCTTATCGAGCTTCCTGGACCACTGCTTCTCCAGCGATGTATCGTAGAGAAGCACGACATCCCCGACTGCCAAGGGTACTTTCCTCACTCGCGCAGACTGATCTCATCGGGCCTTATCATCCATACGGCTTCTCGCCACCTGATTAGATGCCTCCTAGATCCTTTCTTCTATCGCCCCGACCTGCCGCGCCCGAATATCGAGCAACTCTTCAAATGACAGGTTAACTTCCAGATCCTGGCGCCTCCATGTCTTAAGAAAGCTTTCGATAGGGAAGGTGGCATGCCTTCCGTACCACAGCGTCGCAGGTGCGTACTTGATGGATCTCTTTACTGTAATGTTCTCGACAAAGAAAGCCGCCCTTAGGTATCTGGGCCATTGATTAGGCCTACCTTCGGTCCATTTGGCCAGGAGATTCGTAATGGTACTATGTCCTCTCTCTACGGGAGCATTTGCCTGGGGGTGCGCGGCCGTGGTGTAGTTGGCTGCCACACCATACCTTGATAACAGTTCTTGCACCTCTTGGCAGGTAAATTCTGATCCCTTATCCATTACGAATTCCCTAACGAAAGGATAACGCAGGTAGTACTCCTCGATGCAGCTCACCAGGACTGACCCGGTCTTTGTGCGAATAGCACGCCCGTCTACGAACCCAGACAGGTTATCGCACGCATCGAAGATATAGTTATAGCCTTGATCCCCAAGTGGCATAAAAAGTAGATCGAGATGCACTACAGCCTCCACCTCTCGCTCTAGCCTGGGATGCAGCGGCTCTCCTTGCCTCAAACGGGATCTTTCCTGGCAAGGTACGCAAGATCGGCAGAACTTTCCGACCATATCCATCATCCCATCCCAGTAGTACAACTCACTTATCTTGGCATACGTGGCTTGTACCCCTCGATGTCCTCCTGCAATACCATCGTAAAGCGCTGCTACGACGTCGATCTGACGATTCCTACCGCAGACGACTCTCCTAAGATTCCCCACTTCCCTTCTCACGAAAAGGTGACCGTCTCGCACTAAGTATCGCTGCAGCATCCTTTGAGCCTTATCGCTCGCATCTCTTAGTCGCATTTCACATGACAGAAGAAGCCCCAACTCTAGGTAGATCCCGTCGTACTCCTCTGCACGAAAAGTTTCCTTAATTTCCCCTTCTTCGAACTCGTCATCCTGACTCTCGGGTATTTCGTCCACATTCCCTGCCGGGTTCAACGAGCCTGACTGGTCTAGGCTTTTCTGCAATAACGTATTGACGAGGAGATACATTCCTCCCATCAGGTCCCCATGCCGTTCTACCTGGTCAGGTCCTTCCTCAATCGTCCTCATATCCTCCACCAGGCTATGCGAGCTGGCCAGCGCTAATTCCATCATCCACGGAACATCCTTACCGCCCCAGGGATCCTCTTCTTTAAAGGGTTTGAGAACCAGCTCGGTCCTCCTTTCATATCTGCTCGGCGCTTGCCAAATAGGATAGCCTACACAGCTGGGCACTCGCGGCGACCACTTATTGATATGGAGACGAATATCTTCTTCCTGATCCAGAAATCCATCAACTGGGGGCGTATTCTCCACCGCCTCCCCTTCCTGCTTATCCCAGTTGATCCGACTCAGTCCGTCAGCCCGGTTCTTACTACCAGGAATCCGTTCTAATTCGAAATTGAACATCCATATGTACGTCAGCCATCTGGCAATCGTCGGATCCGATGGAGCGTAATTCCTTAGAGAGTAGGCCAGGGCGGTCGGATCCACTCTCAAAATAAATCTTCTGCCGAAGACATAATTCCGGAAGATTCGCAGACAGAAGAGGACAGCAAGGGTCTCCCTCTTGAACTGAGAGTAGTTCCTCTCTGTCGTACTGAGAGTCCGACTCTAAAATCGCAAGGGCCTTTCCTTTCCTTCCGGCAAGCGGGGCCAAATCCAGACACTGCATGAGGGAAGCGACTATCTTGGGGATAGTCTGCAATGAGAAGGGCCGAAGGCCGGATGTGAAGAAGACGGACAAAATTACTGAGTGGCCAGTTCCGTTCCACTCAATAACTGATGTCAGGAGCTTCCTTGGTACGTGTAGATTTTGGAGGGTCTTCGTGAAGAACTTTGCCGCTAAGACCGAACACCTGAGGAAGTTAGTCCGTCAGGATCAGGAATGGGTATGGGGTGAGGAACAAGAAGAGGTGGTAGCGTCCCGTTAGGCTTAATAAAGCAGAACAATGGGGACGCATATGGTCCACTTGAATAGTCGGCGACGTGAGTACGTATCTTGCCGTCGAGATAATCCACCACCTTCCTTTCCTCGTCAGGATTGGGATATCGCGCCCCTCTCATGTTCCAAGGCTCGTGTGGCACGGTGTGGATGCGGATCATAGGTATCTTATCTATATCCAGCCTGCCACGCTCCTCGTCACTAAATGCATAGGCGCGATGCTTCCTCTTCATTAATTCCACCATCAGCGTTCGCTCCTGAGGCAGCAGGAAATCAGACTCCCCTATGATCAA